TGCAGAGTGTCACGGTCCTACATTTTTTACCGTGCGGCGTCGTGATCTTGACACGCTCACGACTAGTCTTGAGGAGAATTAAGCCCCATATATATTTTTCGCCCCGACTTTGTGGCTTCATCGAACCTTAGGCGAGGTTTGTCTTCGCCAATTGAACATCGCTTGTGCGGAATCCAAGCTTGTTCAACCACACATGCCGCCTGTGCATGCATGTTCAATCGTCTACGACACATCCGACTTATCTCTACGCTAGGCCAACTCGTTCGGCTCGACTTGGCCTCTACTCGGGCCAAGGTCTCTCAATACAACGTCGCATCTCATCTTGCCATCTCGATCCCCATCGACAGGGTCCATATGTCTTGACGTCATCCCGAGCGGCCATCATAACTCATTCGGTCATGCCATCGAGAATGGGCCCGCGTGTCGTTCATCTCATCAGGACTTCTCGAACATCCATCCATCCGAGTTCTATCGAGGCATAAGTCCTCCTATGTCCATGCTGAGTCATTTACAGATACCATACCGGATAGCGGGTGTATGTAGCAACCTCCAATACGCGGGCTAGGGCGCAATACCGGCACACTCGTGTCGTCCAGTACTGTCCTTCAAAAATTCATTTTAAAGGAAGTCGCCCGAGACACTCGTCTCGGCACGCTCGCCCACACTGTGACACACGTATGTGCCACAGGGTAGTTCACTTAGGCCACAGGGTAGTTCACTTAGGCCACAGGGCCCAGGGGTGGTGGAGAGCTGACACCATGGTACCCCTATTGTACATTTTGAGCCATTTTCATTCTACCAGGTGTAGACATGATTTTGATGAGTTGCCATACGGTGTCGTGCATTGTCCGTCCGATGTCCGATTGACACCAAACTTGTCGAGCAATCATATTTCATATGGACCTCCCGAACCGCATGCCCAAATTCCTTCTGAAACCTCAACTTTTGAGGTTAAGGCCCGGGGCCCTACCCGGCCTTTCAACAAGCCTATCTTTGCTCTTCATGTCTATTCTAATGTCTCTGTCTTGCTTATGTCTCAACATGTCTTCAATGCCCACTTTGCGTGATGGTGTGTTGGATGATGCATCGTCCTCCTCGATCGCATCATGACACTCTTCTATATTGGCTCGCATATAGCCGGATGGGCATCTCTTGAGGGACGCCACTTTACTTGTCATGGCGTGAGGGTCACAACCTACTCTCTTCATAGTGTGGTTGTGACATAGAGTATCCCATCTAGATGAGGAAAAACATGGATATCATGATACACTGCATGGTGAGAGATTTAAGGGTCACATTGGGGATGATTAGAGTATTACATTTGCATTCTTTGAGGTCATGGTAACTTTAGAGCACGGGGTGTGTAATGTTCTTGTCTTGCTCGTGTCCTTAGGGTAGTAAGCCTGACATATCGTCATGGGCTAACCCTAAGGTAATGCATACTTAACACCCTCTAACTTCATGGCATGCTTAGAATTCACGACCCTAAAGTAAGCATATCATCCTTATTAGCTTAAACTAGTCATAGCATCATACTTGTCATAACATAACTCTTGTAGTTCATAGGAATCTTCATGAATTCTTACAAGGAGGACATTAAGGATATTTTTATCTTTTACTTCTTGAGTTTTGGTTCATACCCCAAACAAGTTCTTATTGTTGTAACATCAGTGCATGAGTCTTGGTAAACTTTCGTGTTCTTATACGTAACTCTTACTTAAAATCTTAAGTCATTTGGAGATTATTTGGACCTAGAAATAGCTTAATATTATTATTCTATGGGACATTTGTTCATTTTACCCTCCACTCTTGGTTTATCTCCTAAATGTACTCTAGTGACTTTGAAACCTTGTCTAACCTCTTATATCCTAAAGACCATATATAAAAATTTAGGTTATTTGGAGTTCATTTGGTTCATGACCAACACTTCGGCATGTAGAGGTATTTTGGTCATTTTGCACTTATCTTTAGTTTAGCACCTAAACAAACTCCAATGACCATCAAACTTTATACATATTATTATGTCATCTTAAGCCCCTTAGTAAAAGTTACTAAACAGCAAAGTTCATTTAGTGGGTTATTTTAACATTACTTAAATCTTGAGCAAAACACTCATTTAGGTCTTTAATTTGTGATTCTTGGCTTAATTCTTGCCTAATTCTTAAGGTATTACTTGAAATAAGGTTCATATTATAATCCAAATGATTTATAAGTAAAACTTAAGAAAAGTTCTAAATAGATACTTATCTTATAGTTGACATTTTAGTCCTCAATTCTCGAGCTTTCAGTACCAAATGGCTCCAAATTTTCCTTCAAGTATATTTTTAGGAATAAAAAAGAATTTAATCAGGTTGACCCGGGCCATCTCATTATTACCTTTTATTTTAACTGGGTCTATTATAATTCCCTTACCCAATACCACGTGTCTAGAAAAGCCACTCCATAAAGCCGCAACTCACACTTTTAGAATTTGATGTACACTTGGTGTACTCTGAGCACCAATAAGATTTTTCTTAGGTGATGCTTGTGATTCAAGAAAGTCCTCCAACACTCTAGTTTATCAACTCTATAAATACTTTAGAGGCATTGGTTAGACCAAAGAACATAACAATGAACTCGTCATGGCTACAACGGTTCTGAAAAGTCGTCTTCGATATGTCCTTCATTCTAATCCCAATTGTTGAAACATAACCATCATAGTCATAATTAGGTAGTAGAAGTCCTAAATCAAACATACAAACTATACTATTCAAATTTCCATACAAAGCAAATTCTCCCCTTTTTTTTTTTTCTTTTTTTAATTTAGTGAAAGATGAGACATTAAGTTTTCTAGATCAATTCCAACCCGTATTAACGAAGTAAGGAGGGATGACGTAAGGTTTAAAATTCTCAGTATTTGGAGTCATTTGAGGCTCAAGGAAGGTAGAAACAAGTCTGCGTCTTTCCCTCTTCGACTTAGGTACAAAACTAAAGGTGAAGCAAATTTACCATGGAGAAAGTTATTATGAGTCTTTAATCTGGTTGAAGTCCAAGTAAAACACGTTTAACCATAGAAATTCTATGATTAGACTACTGAAAAGAAAGGTGTACCTTGTTGTTATAAGTAGTAACTTTCATTTCTTTTAAGTCTTTCTTAGTCATTCTATCCTTAGGATCACTCGCATTCGGATGTGGTCTTAGCTCATTCATGTACCCCTCCTTTACTCGGGTGTCATAAAGTCCCAATCAAACAAATGAGAGAGTAGGGGCCTCATTGTCAAGTTTTGAAATCATCATTTAAAGGAACTACTCATCTACTTGCATCTATTTGGGAATGAATGAATTCTATCTCATAAATTTATGTCTCGGATTCCCTAATTGGTCAGGTCCTCAAGATGGTAGGCTTATTGATTGACTATAAAAATCACTTTTGCTCATATAAATCAAAAGACAAGTTCTCACAAGTAAGAGTCATATATGATCATTCTATAAATTATTAATTTTCTCGATGAATGAATTTATGAAGATATTAAATATTTGGTGGTTCGATCTTATACAATCTTATGGTATAGGATACTTCCACTCAAATATCTTCATAGGAAGGACTTGGATCAAATCATTTGTTACAATTATAAAGTAAGTCGCATCATTGATGTGATGTTACTAGGATAAGCACATCGGCCTTATCATATGTTATAGATCCTTTAGATTATTTTGTGAAATGATTCTCACGTATGTAAATTACAAACTATTCAATATTACATTAATAATCACAGTTTTCTTTTTATACAATAAATAATGTTAAATGGTAAGTAAAATAATCAAAATTATTATTAAAATTAAATTATTAATTACTAAATTTTAGGGTATAAAGATCTAATATGAACTAGAAAGAGGTCACGCCTCACCGATCCTGATTACGTGATTACATACAAGTAAAGAGCTAACCAATTCACTCAAAAGATCCCCTACTAAACCGTGAGGAGCATACGCATTTTGAGAGCCTACCGAAGCTAGACTAAGTGAAACAATAAGCCCATATAGGATCTAAACATGAGATAATTTTGGGTTAGAGTGGTTAGGACCCAACAAAGGCTACCTCCGTTAGCCTCGACAGCTACAAGTTAGGATTGATTTATAAGAGACCTACAAGTCTCCCATCTAATTAGGATTGTTTTACATCGACATTTTTAACTTACACATGTTATCTCTTTTAAAAAAAATAATTATTTGAGTTTTTTTTCCATAACAATTACATACAAAAAGAGTTTAACAACTACATACCAATTCATTGCTGTGTCTGGCGGATAACTCTAATTCTCTCACTTAAACCCACGTTTGATGCTTACTCTCACAATTTTTCACTCAAAGTCACTCCACTCTTTCTCATTTAAAGCCACCCGGCTCACAAACAGATGTACCCACCAATCCTTTTTTAATTTCTAAAGGTTCTTTTGTAGGTCATTCTTTGAGCATAGTTTGAGCATAGTTGTGTAAGACTAACAACTAGAGATGTCCATTTACCCTGTTAAGCCAAGACTCTCCAGAGACCACCTCAAATGGGGGGGGAGGGGTTATAGTGAACATCTCAATTGATAACTCCACCATTGGCGATTGGATGTTATCACTAGACATTTGGATTTTTCACTCTTTGATGACACCCAAAGCCCTCCACCCAAATCTTCCTATCATCTTTCTACCCCCGACCATCAATATTTATCTACTCATATCACAAGCATGCACATTTTTTATCATGTCAATCCCAATTATGTTTTGAACATTTTGAAGTAATTAAAAATAAAGACCTCTATAGTAATACCTTTCAATTGTTTAACTCCTTGTGGGCAATCAGCTAACCACCAACTTGGCATATCATTCTTTAAGATTACGGCCGTTTTTGTAATTAGTAGTTGTTAGTGGCCATTTTGTATATCTTTTAAACTTTGTTCGATGAAGTTTCAGTTACTTTCAAATGTTGAGTGAAGCTAAATTTATGACATGTAGCCTCCAACCCCCTCAGAAACATCTGGAAACATGAGATCATCTGCTGCATAACAATTCCATGAACCAATTTGCATTCAATTACACCAATAAAACCAGTCATCTCGTGTACAACTTCGGTAGAGGGCGGACTAAGCTCGCATAAATATTCACTTCAGAATCCAAACCAAGAGAAAATGCATAAAAAATGAAAAACACACGGCCACTGACCAGAAAATGGGGCAGGGCTTGCATATGTAGTTAGTCCATCTCATCTGTTATCCATATGGGCGCTCAGATCACCCTCGGCCTCTGCCTCCAACTATATCAAAAAAAAAAACACGAGCATGGCATTACTGTTTGTATCTACTCTCAAATTCCATTTTGAAACCGTAGATGAGTTTTTAAAAACTAAAAAACGCTGGTAGTTTTTAAAACTCCAACATGGTTAAGGTATAAGTAGATTTTACAAGGCAGACGGTAAAAACAGAATTCTTACGCAATGCAAGCTAAAACAACAAATTTATGTTCCATAAATAATAATGATTCAGTTGAATTTACCTCTGTTGGCACCCGGTTTTCCACCAGGGCCACCCTTTCCACGTCCTCCAGAAGCAGCTTTAGCACCATCATCAAAGCCTCGCCCCATTCCTTTTGCTGGTCTTCCACCAGGACCATCCTCACGCCCTCTTCCTCTTCCACGTCCCACACCCGGAGGTTTCCTATCTGAAAATTCAGTGACCAAGCATCAGTTTCCTTAATACAAAAGCTATAACTTGTCAAAATCAAGGGCAAAAGAGAATTGAATCTAAATCTTAATGGCGTTGTTTATTTACTCATTTGATGTGTACGGATTATCAAGAGAAAAATACATCAAAACGTCAGCAAATGTCTTTGGTGTTTTATGGAGTGTTATCAAATGTCCATCTTTTAGTACATGGATTTTGTCAAAAATTTTAGTAAGGCCAGATGAATAATCAATGAAATTTATTTTACAGTTCCCTATAAGCAAAATATATTTTACTCCAATTGATTATATCATAAAATGCTTTGACACCATACCTGCACGAGTTTTGGTTTCTTCCTGTACTTTATCAATAACCTGGGAAACAATACAAAATTAGTGAATGAGAATGTTTTACGTGTGCATGCTTGTGCATGTGTGTATGGATGAGGAAGATATTTGAGCTAGCAAATATTGCAACAGTTTGCACAAAAACTTTGCAATGGTTATGACGAGTAAAATGATGGGAATGATAACTTCTATAATCAGAAAAAGAACAGTTTTAACAAGTAACTGAATTGGTGGATGACGAAGGGTAAAATCAAATTAAAAAAGTTAAAAATTATCACAAATTGGAGTACACCCCTTCCATTTTGAAAATAGGTGGATGCATCATCATTGTATACTTTTCTACCTTCATTGGAATATTGGTGAATTAACACCCCTCTTTGAGGATGGCTGGTCCCTGGTTTTATGAAAAAACTTAAAGGTCTAAAGGTTATTCTAAAGGATAAGAATCATGACTCTTACGGCTGTTTAACAGCCGAAAAAAACCAAGTTGTATCTGAGATTTCCATTGTTGACAGTATGGAGGAGTCAGGTGACATGCTCCCTAACTACAAAATCCAAAGGATTTCTATGAAAGGACAGTTGCACTATTTCACCGCCAAAAAGAAGACTTTGAAAGATGGTGATATGAACTCTCTTTCATTCACCGTATCATGAATTCAAAAAGAAGAAAAAGTACTATAACAGAGTATCTTTCTGAACAGAACCGAAGCTGCCTAACAGATGGTGAAAAATTGAACAAATAATTATTTCATTGAAAAAACAATTGGAAGATGCACAGGCAATCGTTCCCTCCCTCAACTTACTCAATGGGGACCCTATTTTAGCTACACATGCATCCCAATTGGAAGCAGACTTTACTGAGGAAGAAATAAAACATGCTGTTTTTTATTTGGGCACTAACAAATCTCCCGGTCCCAATGGTTTCACTGCTGAATTATTTTTTAAAAAAATTGAACATCCTTAAAGGTGACGTCATGAGGTGTGTTCCAAGACATTTTAAGGATGGAATTAACAACGCCTCCTTAAATGAGATCGCCATTTGTCTCATCCCTAAGAGAGTGGACTCACCTACAGTCAATGACAATAGACAAACCTGCCTTACTTTAGCCTTTACAAGGTATTCTCATTTCTAAAGTTCCCTCGGAAAGACTTGGGAAGAACCCGCAATTAAAACTATCAATCAGCTTTTACTTTAGTTCGCCAAAATCTTGATGCATCATACACTGCTAATGAGCTAGTGGATGAATGAAAAGAAATAAAAAATAAATGTTATCACATCAAGCTCTATAATTTCTTCTTTTTTTTAACAATAAACAAAATTGTTCATTGAAAAAATTAAGAGAGACTAAGGTTCAAATGATACAAGCTCCATAAAGGAGTGAAAAGAGAAAAAAAAAAAAAAAAAAAAAAAAAAAAAAAAAAAAAAAAAAAAAAAAAAAAAAAAAAAAAAAAAANAGACCTTTGTCTCTATTTTCAAGGACAAGAAAATATTAACCATTTACTTTTTCATTGATTTTCAAGCAGGAAAATGTGGGAGCTTCTATTTCAAGGCCTCCAGGTTTCTTGGACTCTCAACTTCCTGAAAAAGAAAAAAAAAAAAAAAAAAAAAAAACAAGAAATAAAAGAAACCAAGAAACAATTACATGCGAACAAAGTATTACAATATCAACAGATATCTTGTAGTGAGAAGAGCTTCGGATAAAGTTTATCTGACTCATAAAGAGCAAATGTATCAAAGGGAAGAAGATTAACTCTCGTCCAAGCCATTCTAACCAACCTTCCTATTTACTACCACACCCTTCGAAAATTTCCCACAAAGGTTGCTAAATTGATTGAACTATTCAGGAATTTCTTTTGGAAAAGGCTCCACTGGTGAACCACAAACAATTAAATGGGAAACAGTTCTTCTCCTCATTGAAAAAGCGGTTTGGGCCTCCATTATATCAAAGATAAAGCCGTGCTCTCTAGCCAAGTGGCTTTGGCACTACAAAAAGGAGAAATATTAATTCATGGCTATATTTGGTCCACAGTGGGAAATGGGTTATCCATTGATTTTTGGAATGATTCCTGGTTGTGTAATAGACCTCGGATCTTTATTTTCCCAAGCTCTTTCGGGTTACTAATAAGAAGACAGTTTCAGTCAAAGATATGTGGCATGAATATATAGCTCTTTGGGGCTAGGATTTCAGAAGATTACTGAAGGATGATTCAATCACATAATGGGCTAACCTAAGCCTCCTCTTCTCCAACTTTAGTTTGAGTTTTGATGGTGATGATTGAGTTCGACCACACAAGGCTAATGGTGATTTTTCTGTCAAATTCTTGCTTAAAATTAAAACCCTTGACCTCTCAGCTGTTAGTTCCTCCCATCTTTTTACGAAGTGATTCGGCATGATGAATACCCAAAGAAGGTAAAATTCATCACTTGGGAGCTATCACACAAGGGTATAAACACTCATGATAGCCTTAACACTCATGATAGCCTTTAGAGGCATCTTCCTTACATGGCCATCTCTCCTAGTCGCAGAGCATCCTTAGCAAGAGCAGTATGGAAAATCAATCTCACTTATTTAATCACTACTCTTTACTCAAAGCTTCAGGATTGACATTCAACTTACATTTAGCTGGTTGGTGGTGCTCTCCAATGGTCCTTACTCTCTCCTCAACATCCTCTTTTTGGGCCATCCCTTCAAGGGTAAGGAGTTTCTTTGGAAGACTTTTGTTTGTGCTTTTTAGTGGTTGGTTAGAAACAATAGGACCTTCAGTACAAAGGAAAACGATTACTTGACTTTCTTTGATAGTGTTGTTTACCTTACTATTACTTGGTGTAAGTTGAACTCTATGTTTTACTCTAGCTTTTCTATACTTTTGACCCATTTGAGAAGTCTTGTGTAACTCTTTTGGTTTGGGGCTTTCTCTTCCTCACTATTTGTAATCTCATACATCAATGAAATTGTTTCTAGCCACCAAAAAAAAAATAATAATAACAATAATAAATAAATAATTGAACACAAAAGTTGTAATAGGAAAAGAAGAGAGGAAATAATATTAGAAACCAGAAATGAAAATGAGATGTGGCTGGCAAGCATGTGACAGAAATGGGCAAAGAACTAAATCTTAAAGGAAAAGGGTTTTTTGTTCTAAAAGCATATATATAATTGGTCCTCCCGAAACCTCAAAAGTCATAATTAAACGTTAAAAAATGGAAACAGCTTCCATGATTACCTCATCAGGAACTCGCAAATACTTGATTGTATTACCACGGATATAACATTCAGGCATTCGCCAAAACCGGTCACCATCCTAAATTTGATAATTATAAAACTTAGTCAGCACAAACAACCATCAAGAAAAAGAAATAAACACAAATGTAAAAGAGCAAAATTCATCCCTAAAATAAAAGTGCATTTACTTTAGAAGTGCAGATGACTTCCCGGAGATGAATGTTCATCCACGTATCACAATTAACCAAATGGCCGTTGTACGTCTCACCATTTTTCAGTTCCACCAACTGTTCAACACAGAAATTACACATTCATAAAATACATTCACAAACAAATTCCTAAGATGAAAGTTATTGGCATAGCAGCCGCAACCGCACAGACAAAGCACAGCCTTACAAGTTACAACTAAAATGAATTCGCACAGTGGCATTTTAGGCACGTGAAAATATTAATAGTGATAATCATAATTGGAGCTCCGGGGAATGGAGGGTTCAAAACTTATGGTGCCATCTATCTCGATATAAAATTTGTAAAGTTCATTGACAATAAAATGTGAGTCTGTCTCTACCCGTATACTTAAAGATTCAAATAAGAAAATTGAAATGCGGCCCTTACCATTGGATGCCCTTGAGCAGTCTTTAGGAGCGAAAGTGGAAGCTGAGAAGTGGAAAAAAAAACTCTTTCAGAGTTCATCCAAAAAGAGAAAAGAACGAACAAAACAAATAACGACGAAGCATTTGAAGGAATCAATTCAATTGATCCGAGGCATTGAGTGAATAAATACACGCTCATAAGTTACAACCATCAAAAGTTAGAAACTGTGTTCAAAACACAAGTGGACCAAAAAGAAAAACAGAACACATACCATCTTCAAGAATATGGAGCAGACTCGTAGAAGCAGAAACAACCTGAAGGGAAAGAAGAAAAAAAAAAACCCTAAAAGAATTTAAATCATCCGAACGATCCTACATTGGAATAAACAGAATCATATAATGGAACATTGACCGATAAACCAATGAAGTGAACAGAGAAAAACAGAATCACAAACCTCCAGAGCCCCCGATCCGAAGAGAACCAACTTCTTGGAGTGCAGTAGAAAATTCTCGAATGGTTTCAAAAGTGCCCGCGATGGGTGTTTGGGCAGGATTCGAAGGAAGAACTTTGAAAATAGGTTTAAATTTAATGTCCCGGTACAGTCAATAATGTTCTCGGCTTCGAAGACAACCGAACCAATTTAAAACCGAAGAAAACCGATCTTCAACCACTTCGATCGGTTCGGTTCTTCCGATTTGGGCTTTTATTGGGCCGACGACTGCTGCTGCTTAGACAATAATGGCCGGAATAATCAACCTTTTTATTTTATTTTATTAGTTTAACAATCAACAATTTTTTATAGTACAAAAAAATTATTACCTATATATTATAAATAAACCATAAATTTTAATTCACTAGAATGGGGAAAAGACGTAGTTTGTTAATTTCGATCGAGTTTTAAAAAATTATTATTTATTAACATTCTAGATATCGATACTTTTATTAACATCTATTTCAAAAATGAATGGATTTAATAGGTAAAATTTAATTATTTAAACTAATCTCAAATTTTTTTCTCAAGTAATCTCATTATTAATCATATTTTTAAGTAGGTAACTTATTTAATCAATTATTTTATTAACAAAAAATTATATTATACTAATTTTTGTTTTTCATATGTTTTTTAAATAAAATTAAAATTTATATTCAACTTGTTTAGCTATATAAATTTAGTGGTTAGTTGTTTATTAATATTATTCGCATTGTTTTCATTTTATTTGATTTTTGGCAGTCGTGAGCGTGTGCTAGCCCTTAATCAGCCCTAATAGGTACATTAACAAGCCCATCTAGTAGGTCTATTTGCATGTATGCGGATCATGTGTAGATAAGTATTCTAACTAGAAAGAAAAGAATAGAGTATAATGAATAATCATAAAAAATTAGGTCCCGCCAGTCATGACCCATGTTATTGTATCTCATGAGACTAACAACCATTTCTACAACCTCTAGTAAGTATCACATGTCTTGCATATACATATAAAATGTATTGATGACGCCAACTTTCTAGGAAGCATTGCAGTTGGACTTGAAACCACTATCTTCTAACTTTAAATATATTTAGGTGACAAAGAGAAACTACCTATCATCATCTTAGCAACATTATCATCAGCTAATAGGATGTGCTCCTAAAAATATTGAGGAAGTACAAGGGATGATAGGTTGGATATTGGAGGATATAAAGGGTATTAGTCTTTCACTATGCATGCATAAGATACAATTGGATGAAGTACAATTTAAATCCATTGAGCAAGAAAGACGATTAAATCCTATTATGAAAGAGGTTGTTAGAAAAGAGATTAACAAATGGCTGGATGCTAGAATAATATATCCAATTGGAAACAATCGTTGTGTTAGTCCTATTCAATGTGTTCCTAAGAAAGGAGGGATAACACTAATGGAAAATGAGAAATCCGCACCAGAATAGTGAATGGATGGAGAGTTGTTAGATAAAACCTGAGTTTTTCAGTTTTTCCCGCAATTTGGTAGGGAGTGTCACAGATTTAGTTGGCCACTCTCAAGCCATTTTTGAGATAGTTTATATTTAAATAGGAAATCTGTTCAGAATATTGAATAACCTCATTTTGAGCGCAGTCAAAATTTCAGTCATTCTCTCTCTTTTATTTTACGCATTTTATTTTTCTTCCAACCACCTCCCGTAGACGATTTCTCTGGCTGATTATTGAAAAACAACAAGTGGTATCAAAGCCAAGTTGAAGCCATCAGTGTATATCATTGCGGAGGAGCTAACTTATTAACAAATAAGTTGAATAGCTCAAGTGGTTAGAGTGTAGACCTAACACAAGTCACAGGTTCGAGTAGAAGAAAATGTAAAGTGTGAAAAACACACACATCATGGGGTCCATCTCCATTTTTACTAATAATGAAATTTTCGCTGAGAAAATAACAAATGAGAGGTTGAAATAGGTGAAGAAGACAACCTTGCCTGCCTCACGTGTGGATAGATGGTCTCCCACGCATAGTCCCTTGTTCCAACCATCCAAGCCTGGCATGATGTTAGTGACCATGTCGTGGGAGTAATGCTAGGACATAACAAAGGAAAGGTACTTCATCCTACCAATTATGGAAGAAAAATGTTGAATGAGGCACAAGTAAATTATACAACCACTGAAAAAGAATTGCTTGCTGCAGTGTTTGCGGTTGATTTGGAGCAAAGGTGAAAGTGTACATGACCACACAACAATCAAGCACCTAATGATGAAACCGATTTACTAAGCCAAGATTAATTAGATGGATTCTACTATTACAAGAATTTGAGATAATAATCTTGAACACTAAGGTACGATCACCTCGAGCAAGTCGCGATTGGCTTCGACTGATGACGGGCCAATCTAGTGCTCGTACTGTGGGAAGAGAAGTCACCTGAGCAAGAATTGCTGGAGCAAGCTCAGGAACAAGGAGACGACCGAGAAGGCCCATGTGGCTCAATCCGAGGAGGATGAGCCGACCCTTTTCATGGTGACTGCATCAGTCCTACCTGATGTCCCTCTCGAGGAAGAGCTCTCCAAATCCAAAGAGGTAATCGATGACAACATAACTTCTCCAGTGAGCGTTGAACCCGAGGAAGAGTTCCAATTGTGCATAACAAACCGGTTGGGGAGCCAATTCAACTGAAGGAGGAGCGAGTGTTCGCTCAAATCAGTGGAAGAGGTGAGCAGCAAGAGCACCGACGATGGATCCTTGACACGGGGGCAATAAACCATATGACCGGGGCCAAGTCTGCGTTCTCCGAGCTTGACTCTGGTATTCGAGATCGAAGGGCACGACACCATCCTATTCGTCGGCAAGGGAGCAATCATCACAAGCTGACCAGCATGTACTTCATCCCGAGACTCAAGGCTAATATTGTGAGTTTGGGTCAACTCGATAAGGCCGGCTGCCACATTTTCATCAAGCGCGGGCTACTTAGGATCCGCGATGATCGACGACGCTCACGCAAGTTTGGTGCACGGAAAATCGCCTTTACATCCTAAAGCTGGAGATAGAGCAACCAGTCAACCTCTCTCGGCCAGGTACCGGAAGATGGAAGACCTATTAGAAAGAGGTGAACCACCTGGACTGGCGGCGTGCCAACTCGAAGAAGAGGCGGCCGAACAAGACGTGGAGTCTGGAGGACATGCCGCCAGGGACACCGAGCCATAGGGCTCAAATCGGAGTTCAACCAAAATAAGGTAGATAAAACCTGAGTTTTTCAGTTTTTTCTTATTTAGATTCACACGATTTCAGAATACCTCCGTTTGACCATTTGACAAAACACGTCGAATGGATCACCAAAGTTTTAGACGACAATTTTGTAGGGAGTGGCACACATTTAGTTGGCCACTATTAAGCCATTTTTAGGATAGTTTATATTTAAATAGGAAATGTGTTCAGAATATTGAATAACCTGATTTTGAGGGCAGTCAAAATTTCAGTCATTCTCTCTCTTTTATTTTAAGCATTTTATTTTTCTTCCAACCACCTCCTGTCGACGATTTCTCTGGTTGATTATCGAAAAACAACAAGAGTTTGTATGTATTATAGAAGACCAAATAAAGCGACCTGTAAGAACCATTTTTCCTTACCATTTATTGATCAAATAATTGATAGGCTTGCTGGAAAGTTGCATTATTGCTTATTGGATGGTTATTATGTGAAAATATCATCACTAGCCCAATAGGGTTAAGCACAACCATTGTATGAGTGACTATATTTATGTTAAGAAAATGATTTAGATCTTAATGTTGAGAAATTTTAGGAATTGATTACCTATCATCTAATATAAATACCCCTCTACCCTACTTAGTTTATCATCCCAAGCAATACAAAGGAGTAGTTTCTACCGAGTGTTTTGTAAATCTCTTCTCGATTAGTCTTAATAAAGTGGGCGAGTGTTTCCCATAGAGAGTTGTGTTCAATAATCTGGTATCAGAGCGAGGTTAGTGTAGGTTATCTGATCTCTTGGAATTCTTAATATGCTATGTGGTTGCAGCTCTGTCTGATCTTCCACATAAAAAACGATCTCTAGAGATTATTAGTGTGTGAGTTTCATTTGTGACGTGAGTAGTCTGTGACTCTGCAAGTCTTGTGTCGATAGAGCTTGTTTGATATTACTAAGGTTAGCCAACACGATGGGTGATTTCAAAATCGTTGGAGGAATCAAGAAACTCAACAATAACAACTACAACATGTGGACAATATGCATGATGTCCTATTTACAAGGACATGATCTTTGGGAGATCGGTGGCAGGTGCGAAATTACGCCGTTAGAGGATGATTCTAACGGCCCCTTGCGCAAATGGAGAATCAAAGCAGGTAAAACAATGTTTGTCTTGAAGACCACAATCGGAGAAGAGATGTTAGAGCATATTGGGATGACAAGACATCAAAAGAAGCATGGGACACGTTCGTAATGTTGTTCTCAAAGAAGAACGATACAAGGCTACAACTTCTGGAGAATGAGTTGTCAATTTCACAATGTGACATGACGATTGCTCAGTACTTTCAGAAGGTCAAGTCGATCTGTCGGGAGATTACTGAACTGGGCTCGAAGTCCGCCATTGTTGAATCTTGAATGAAGAGGATTATAATCCATGGATTACGACCAGAATATAGAAGCTTTATTATTGTTGTACAAGGATGACCCACTCAACCATCACTTGTAGAGTTCAAAAATTTGTTAGCCAGCCAAGAAGTCATGGCTAAACAAATAGGAGGCATCACATTGAAGGGTGATGAAGAAGCACTCTACACAAGTAAAAGTCGGAGCAATAATAAGTCGTCTACCAAACGTGGATACAATGGTGACAAAAGAAGAAGTCACCAAGGAACTGTACAACCAGGGAGAGCTTAGAAGAACAATAACAATAACTCTTAAGGGAAGAGATTTGAATGCATTTGCTACAATTGCGGGAAGAAGGGCCACATGTCGAGAGATTGTTGGTAAAAAAAAAAAATCTGTCGAAAGCAATGTGGCATCCTCCAACATGAAGATGGAGGAGGAATGGGATGTAGAGGTATTGTATGCCATAAAAGAAGATGAGCTAGCACTCATGGCGATGATGTGAGACCATATCGATTATGAGAATGATTGGATCATTGATTAAGAATACTCAAACCACATGATTGACGATCAAAGTGGTGCAATGGAAGATGGGTGACCCTTAGAGAAGGAAGTATTACCAGGCCTTTAGCAAATTGAAGAAATTCTTCTGACGGGAGAGCAAATTGAAGAGATTCTTCCACAGAAGATAGGGGAGCAAACTGTACACATTTGCTTAAGTGCTGATGTGCCTGAAGATTCAAGTGACACTAGTGTTGGTGAGAAAGAAGTGACTCAACCAAGTGAACCTAATGAAAACCAAAGGGCACCTCAACAACTAAGACAGTTAGAAAGAATCCAAAAGCCAAATCCAAAGTATGTCGATATAGCTAATATAGAGGACGAAGTTAAAGAGCCAGAGACATACATAGAAGCATCTCAAAATATGGCTTGGCAGCAGGCAATAGAGGAAGAAATTATAGCCCTAAAGCAAAATCAAACTTGGAAACTAATACCAAGACCAGAAGATGTCAAATTTATCAATTGCAAGTGGGCTTACGAAATAATGTGCCTCTCGGATGGATCAATCGAAAGATACAAGACTCAATATGTAGCTCGAGGGTTCTCTCAAGAATATGGACTAGACTATGATGAAACGTTTTGTACAGTGGTAAAAATAACTATCATACAGGTTTCTCCTGTACTTGTGGTAAATAAAGATTGAAAATTATGGTAGATGGATATGAAGAATGCTTTCCTGAATAGTGAGTTAAACAAAGCGTTCTACACATGGACCAACTAAAGAAATTCGAAAATGAAGTTGGAGTCATTAGTCAATATATGCAAAGTTCGAAGAAGCCTCATTTGGACGCGACTCGACAGACCTTGAGATATGTCAAAGGTACAATCAATTACGTTTGTTTGTACAAAAGAAGCGAAGACTACAAGCTAGCTGAATATAGTGATGTCGACTATGTAGGAGACCACGATACTTGAAGATCAATCACTGGGTATGTGTTCAAGCTCGGTTTGAGAACAATTTCTTGGTGTAACAAAAGACAACCAACTGTATCATTGTCAACTAGAGAAACAGAGTATAGAGTAGCGGCGGGAGCAGCTCAGAAATGTACATGACTAAAACTTCTAATAAAAGCTTGGCACTAGAAAGTTGACTATTCGATACCACTTCAATGCGACAACCAATCTGTGATTTGTTTAGTAGAAAATTCGATGTTTCATGGCAGAACAAACATGTGGAGGTGCACTGCCATTTTATTAGAGACAAAGTCTTGAAGGAAGAATACGGATGACCAAGTGATAGACTTGTCTACAAAAGAGCTGAATACTTGCACACATGAGAGCTTTTGCTGTGGTGCAACGAATGAGGACTAGTGTTGAGGGTGAGTGTTAAAATATAATCACTAGCCTAATAGGGTTAAGTCCAACTGAGTAACTATATTTATGTTAAAAAATGATTTAGGATTTTAGAAATAAATTTAGGAAAATGATTTAGGAATTTTAGGAATAAATTTAAAAAAATAATTTAGATGCTTCAGGAAAAACATTGTGAAATTTTAGGAAGTGATTATCTATCATCTAGTATAAATACCCCTATACCTTGCTTAGTTTATCATCCCATCTGACTTAGTTTATCATCCCAAGAAATTACAAAATATTGTTAATGAAAGACTGAGTTACTGAATTGAATTGTTAATAAGAAATTAAATTATGAAGAGCAAAAATGCTATGTATATATATAGAATACAAAAAGATATTTAAAAATTATACCTAAATATCTGCAGAAAATCTGGTAACAAACCAATAAATAAATCAAATCAAAACAAAATCTAATCAAATCAAAACTAAATCTAACTCCTAACAGAGATTTAATTAGATACTAACTGACAACAATCTAAACAAATAACATGATCTTTAACACTCCTCCTTGTTTAGATGCTGTGAACTCCAAGCTTTTTTCTGAACACCCATCTTGCTCCAATTATCTTTCTGCTTAAAGGTTGATCAACCAACTCCCAGATTTTGTTTTTCTCGATCACTGAAAGCTTCTCCTCTGACAGGTGCATCATCAACCAAAGCATCTTGTCGTTCATCTTCAGACTCTTCTAACATGCTACCAAAGACTAAATTGTTTGGTGCATTAGAAATCTGATTCACCTTCGTCAATTCTTCCCAATTCCATTGCTCATTTCCAGCAAAATGAACATCTCGGCTCACAATAACACAACTAATGTGTGGTTGAAAAACTCTGTAAGCTTTTGATATAATGTTATACCCAACAAAAATGTCACCTTATGCCTTTTTGTCAAGCTTATCACACTTGACCTGTGGAATGTAAGTGAAGCAAAAACACCCCAATACTCTAAGGAACTTTAAAGAATGTTTGTAACCATACCAAACTTCAAATGGTGTCAGGTCCTTCACAGCTTTTAATGAAATTTGATTTTGCAAGCACACACACAATGTTTGCTGCTTTTCCCCAAAAACGTTTTGGAAAATCCTTCTCATGAAGCATGCATCTCGTCATCTTCATTATGAATCTGTTCCTCCTTTCACTGACGTCATTCTGTTGAAGAGCATATGGTGCTGTCAATTGATGTTCAATTCCAGTCTCTTCACAAAACCTGTTAAAAGTTTCTGAAGTGTACTCTTGGCCATAATCTGATCTTATAGTCTAAATCAAACGTGCACTTTCATTCTCAACTCTGGCTTTGAATTTCCAAAATACACCCGCAACTTCTGACTTTTGCTTCAGCAAGAAGATCCACACATTCTTGTTAGATCATCAATAAAAACAGTGTAATAAAGATTACTATTTAATGATGGTGTTCGCTGAGGACCACAAAGATCAGTATGAACCAGTTGCAGCTTTTTCAAGCCTCTTCATGCCTGTTTAGGAAAGGGTTGTCTATGTTACTTCCCAAAATTACAAGTACAGCAAGGAGACATGTCCTCATCAATGTCAGTGAGTTCTTCTACCAGCTTCTTTGATTGCATCTGAAGCAAACCTCGATGATGAAAGTGTCTAAGTCTTTTTTGCCAAATCTCAGTGGCAATAACTTTGGATATAAAGGCCGTCGGATTTAGAGCAAAGCTTTTTCCTTCCATTTTGACATTGAACAAGTCTTTTCCACTAGCATCTTTGATCAAGCATTGTTTATTCTTAAACAACACTTTATAGCCTTTATCAAGTAACTGACCAACACTTAACAGATTTTGATCAATTTTATGTACAAATAAAACACCTGGAATAAATTTTGTACCTTCATAGTTTGTTATAGCTATTCTGCCTTTTCCCTTGACTTCCAAGTGTTCACCATTGCCAATCTTCACTCTCTTGATTTCAGTGTCTCTTAATTCTTAAAAAAAAAACTCCTTGTCATATGTCATGTGATTTGTGCATCCACTGTCAATCAACCAGCTCTCGTTTGATTCTTTGCTTGAGGAAGAAGTGACCATAAACAATTGATCTTCTTTTCTTGATCAACTACCTATGCATCTACTTCTTTCACCTGATCTTTGGCTTTGCAGATCACAGCTTCATGTCCAAGTTGATTGCATTTGGAGCAGAAGGCGTCAGGTCTTCTCCAACACTTGTATGGTGGATGATCTTTCTTCTCACAATGGCGGCAAGGTGGATTTTTTTAAACCTCCTCCTTTTGTCTTTTGTTAATTGGCAGATGGATCTCCACTCGTCGATTGGTTTTTGAAAATTTTCTTGTTTTTATACCTGCTGTTGTCTGACATGTAAGGCACCTTCAATCACCCCTTCTTGCTGTTAAATAAAAGCTATGTTCCTTAGGTTGTTTTGGCGTCTCAAAACTTCTGAATTCACGCCAATGGAAGAGCGTAATTCTAGCTGCAATTTTTAGCCAACTTGGGCGAAGTCTCGCCCACTTTTTCTATTTTTTGTAATTAGTTTTTCTATTTTTGTAATTAGATTTGTTATTTAAAGAATTCAACTTAAGAGAAATAAAACGTCGAGTCTTCAGCAAATCTCTCTCCCTCTCTCCTTTTACTTATGCTGTTTTTTCTTTCGAAGAAACCTTCGGCCAGATTTTTGTCGACATTTTCCTCCGAATTGCCAGAGTCAACACTTTCCTCATCGACCTCCTTTTCTCTTGTGCTTTTAAAGCATTCAAGAGCTTTGTAAGAGAAATCTTTGACAAGTCTTTGGTATTCTCCAGAGTAGTAATGGTGGTTTCAAACTTCTCTGGAACAGTGACTAGCAAGCTTTTCAACGATCCTGGAATCATTTAATACATAACCAAGCAATCTCACCTTGTTAGCAATGTTGAGAAGTCTGTCAGAGTACTCTCTCACCGATTCAGACTCCATCTTCTACAACTCGAAATCCCTAATCAAATTCAGGACTTTCATTCCATGAATCCTCTCATCTCCTTCATATTCAACCTTGAGATAATCCCAGATTTCCTTTGTTGTTTTTATTCGCATGAAGATCATTTGAGATACAACGGCAAATAGGCAAAATTTCGCCTTTGATTTCCTTGTCTTCTTTTCCTTCTGTAATTTGATTTGTGCTACAGTAGGATTTGCTGGAAGCGGATGGACCTCGTAATCATCTTCTATAGCTTCCCAAAGATCCAAGGCCTCCAAATAAGTCTCCATACGAACTGCCCACATCTGGAAGCGGAGGGACCTCGTAATCCTCTTCTATTGCTTCCCAAAGATCCAAGGCCTCCAAATAAGTCTCCATACGAACTGCCCACATTTGATAATTGTCTCCATCGAAGACTGGTGGTGCAATAGCTGAAAAAATGGATTCTCCTCCCATTTTGATCTCACAGATCCCTTAAAAAGATAGCTTTGATACCAATTGTTAGTGGAAGAGGGAGTGATTGAATAGTTGATAAAAAGATTAAATTATAAAGAGAAAGAATGCTATATATATATATAGAATACAAAAAAATATTTAGAAAATCTACCTAAAAATCTACAGAAAATCTTGTAACAAATCCGTAAACAAATCAAATCAAATAAAAAACTAAATCAAATCAAAAACTAAATCTAACTGAGATTTAATTAGATACTAACTGACAGCAATCTAAACAAATACATGATCTTTAACAAATACAAAGTGTAATTTCTACCGAGTATTTTGTAAATCTCTTCTTGATTGGTCTGAATAAAGTGTGCGAGTGGTCTTAATAAAGTGTGCGAGTGTTTCCATAGAGAGTTTTGTTCAACATATTCGGGATACAATCAAATTACAATAAGTTCAGAAGATCAAGAGAAGACCACATTTACATGCCCATATGAAATTTTTGCCTTGGAATGCCCTTTGTACTATGTATCCAACAACATTTCAACAATGCATGATGACCATCTTTATAGATATGGTAGAAATGTTCATGGAGATATTCATGGATGGCTTCTCGATTTATGGAGAATCTTTTGAAACTTGTATGTGCAATTTGGAGAAGGTTCTACAATGGTAAAGAAAAGAATCTTGTATTGAATTGGGAAAAATGTCATTTCATGGTCAATGAGGGGATTGTGCTAGGCCACAAGATCTCAAGAAGAGGAATAGGAGTGGATAGAGCCAAGATAGAAGCTATTGAAAAATTGAATCCATCTACTTTTGTGAAAGAGATAAGAAGTTTCATGGTATATATAGAGTTCTATAGCAGGTTTATTAAAGACTTCTCAAAGATTGCAAAACTATTGTGCAGCTTGTTGGAGGCAAACAAAAAATTCACTTTCGATGAACAATGCATGACAACTTGCCAAGTATTGAAGACAACATTGACCACAACGCTTATAATGTCAACACCCAATTGAGATTCACCATTTGAGTTGATGTGTGATGTTAGTGACCATGTCGTGGGAGTAATGCTAGGACATAACAAAGGAAAGGTACTTCATCCTACCAATTATGGAAGAAAAATGTTGAATGAGGCACAAGTAAATTATACAACCACTGAAAAGGAATTGCTTGCTGCAGTGTTTGCGGTTGATTTGGAGCAAAGGTGAAAGTGTACATGACCACACAACAATCAAGCACCTAATGATGAAACCGATTTACCAAGCCAAGATTAATTAGATGGATTCTACTATTACAAGAATTTGCGGATAGATGGTCTCCCACGCATAGTCCCATGTTCAACCATCCAAGCCTGGCGTGAAGTATTTTCAACAATTGTCCCCCAATTAATGGAGTGCCAACACATTTCCTCCTCTGGCGGCCCACGCGTGATACCATTCACAGCTTGCCACATTTGAGCTCCCTTTGGCTGAAATGTGTCACCATTTTTTTTTTTTTTTTTTCATGACACAAGTCCCTCATGACTTTTCCACATTATATTTTAGAATATTAATGTTCTTCACCAAATTCAAATGCTTCTTCACCAAAGTTGAAGATTTTTCTAATAGCTTTTCAATAAAATTATTTCTATCCTAAATTTGAAATTCTTTTTTTTTTATCCATCCAATTCAATTCTAGGTTTCTTCATTCATTATGCGAAATGCAAAGTTCTCTCTAAAATAACATAGTAAACTATGATTTTCTTTTATTTTCTTCTTCTTTAATCTCATACTAAGTCATTTACGGACCCATAGTTAAGAAATATGGGCTGAAATGACCAAAATGCCCTTTAGAGTTGACTTCTTCCTCTGTTTGTTAATTAAAAATAGAACTAACTTCATACTTTTTTGTAACTTTGATTAGTTGAAAGTTGTGGAGTATGGTGTATGAGTTTAGGTGATTTAGAGTGTATTTGAGTAAGTTTGGAATGTTTTTTTTTTCTTTTAAGGATTAATTAGTTTAGGTGATTTTAAAGGATTTGAAGTGTTTGTTTAATTTTGTGAGTTAGTGAGTTAGGATTTTTGTTTTGGCTTTAAGTGATAGTTTAGGATGCTTAGTGGCATGTGGAATAAGTTAGGCACTTCTTGAACCCTTCTTTTGTGAGGATAGTTTGTGTTGACTTTTATGGCATTTGAAGTGAATTATGCACTTTTTTATTTTTATTTTTTATTTTTTATATGGTTAGTTTAGTGGGTCCCCACGTTCTCCCTTTGTTTGTTTCCACACATGATACTAGCACAAACAAGGTTATAATCTCACAACACTATCCTATCCATACCAACTATTTTTCTTGTTAGGTACAGGTGTAGACCCCATCATGTCAATTACAAAGGTTTGCTGATACTAATTATAGCAATGTAGAGTAAATGTTAGGCTAAGTTCGGATTCTCTTATGTCGCATTGTTTAGATCTTTTATGGGCATTCTTACGACTAATCTTATTCTATTGTATTGTAATACATATCGGAATAGTTCTAACTTCTACTTCTATCTTAGAACATAAGGGTACAACCTTAATCTGGGAGTGGGGTCCAAATTCATGATTTATGATTTGTGATATCCTTCACTACCTTATACATTAGAGTAAGTATTAAAACATACTCAACGAAATCATCTCTAACAATTTAATTCGATAAAAACATGCTAATTGGGCTTCAAATCAAGGACCTTGAGCCAACCCCCTATGTGACTGCAAAGCTCTCGAAAACACTTTAAAAAGAAAAGAAAAATGTATGTGTATAAAAATACATAGTAAGCAATCTACTTATAGTCTATCATCGCATCCTTAACCTAGTAAGTATCCACAGACTATACTCTGGCTCTTAGAAGTTTGGGCCTTGTCTCTACTATTATCTGAGTATCTCGGGAAGCCTCAATTTTTTGAGCGGATGTTTGATCTAGATCTTACTCCTAGGGGTCTATATATATTTTCTAATTTGTTTTTGTTCTTTGACTTGGGTAGCTTGCTTTGCTTACGAAAATGATTGGTATCCTAGGTTGCGACGCTACTTTATAATTATCTAGTGGGACAATATGGTGTTTGCTAGCCTCAACATCATCCATGGAGGTTAGCTAGCTAACTTTCCCACAGAACCATATAGTCACCCTAGTTTGGGTGAGTGACTCTTGTATGTTGGCCAGCTACTGTAGTGTCTACCGCATGATACCATGTCCCATTTCTAGATGGGTTTTACTACATAGTGGTCCCATTTAGGAGACCACTAGTCATTCCCTCTGGGTAAGGGCATCTGGTCATCTCGACGCACTACACTATCCACCTTTGGCTTGGCTCAACTGTACCTATACTACTACCGCTGGGTGGGATGCTACTAGCACTAAGGGTGTACTGAAGATATAGAAAGCGAAAACTCTAAATAGTACTATCATACTGGATGTCATGGAGACCTACTAGGTTCTTAAGGACATTTAGGCGGTTTAAATCTCATCTCACACTTTCAAGATGCTCAAGGTTAGCTCCTTGGGGCTAATCTGATCTCTGAATGCACATGGGTCAAGACCCATGATTGCCATTCATGATCCGGAGGTGGATGGTCTATTTAAAACGTACTAACATGTGCCAATATGTAAACTTCTCTAGCTGTAGCGCTCTAATTTTAACTTGGTTCTATCCTGCATGCTTGTTAGGGAGATATTCTTATCAATCACCTAAAGCACGGAATATGTAATATAATCTTCATCTTGGTCATTTTTGAGAACTAAGAAGGTTTATTGGGCTTCTAAGACGGTTAGGTTGCTTAGCGATGACTTTTGACTCCAAAGTACTCTATTATGACTACTCAAGTCTTTCTTAATTTGGAAGCAATAGGGTCTAGACCCTCTGACCGTCGCTCACGATCCTAAGGTGGTTAGTCTGCTAGAGGCATTCTAACCTAGGTCACATCTGGCTAACCTAACTCTAGCGCCCTAGTTTTGATTTCTGTGTAGATAAGCACGCTTTAGAGGGAGAACACACAATCAAGTACTTTGAGCTAAACATATTATATGATGCATTCATACAAGCTCAAGGGGAAGATAACATTCATCAATCGCTCGGAGCACATATCACAAAAATCTATCCTTCATTCTAACACAACGAATAATATATAAAACAACTTACGTTTCAAAATCTCGATCTAGGGGTATTTTTGGTAATTATCAACATCATACATAGATTACTTGAACAAATTTTCCTTAGTTGAGTTCTATCGTGCACATTCCCTTCCTAGCTGGACAGACAACATAAAAAATCAGCATGCGTCTCATAAAATCATTCTAAAGGCATTTCGGTAATTTCTTTAACATACAAAGCATTCTAGGGGAACCTAAACATACATATTTTAACCCTCTAAGGTAAGATATGCTCACGTGCTAGTATGTCATATCTATCCCTACAAGTATTACTTGAGAAAAGTCTAAATGACTGCTCACTTGGATGATGTGTGCCTTCCTAAGCTAGCAGAGCTAACTTTTTTTTTTTTTTTTTAATGTTAGAATTCCAAATTTTCTGAAATTTCTCGAGTAGATCCTAATTCAAGTCATGTAAAACATCCAAACAGTCCTCGTATTAGACACGTATCTAGGAGGAGAAGTCACGCTACCATCGACACAAGTGGTGGCCTCTGAGTGGTTTATATGAAATCCACCACACGCATTCGAATCATCCATATCGGTGAGCTATAAAGAGATATAATTGCATTCAAAGTAGGTTAAAAAATAGAAAACTCACCATTCATAGGAACTCTAGCCTTCTTTATAGAAGAGCATGTGAAATCCCCCCAAGACAACATATTAAAATTCCAGAGCATAATTCCTCATAAATCTCTTGAATCTAAAGATAAGTTGAGAACAAACATTCAAAATTCTTATATTCCAATCTTCCTCAGTTCAAGAGGATTTTGACAATCCAAAGGTCTAGAGTATTCTTCCTACATCCTAACAAGTTTTGTGAATAAAATTTAGCTTGGAATGAGACTCTAATCAACTCTTATGTAGGTTCGAGAATAGGTTACACATTAATTATAGGTTATAGAATAACTTCGACCATTTTTTTCTATTTTTTTTAATATTTTCTTTTATAACTTTCCTAACCTCCCTCTATTCTACTTTATTTCATTCTAAAACTCTTAATAAAATTTATTTGTATTTCTTGTATCCTATTTAAAAGATATCAATATCAATATCAATCATAACAAACACCTTCCCAATTCTATTTTCTATCTCATTTTTAACATGGTATCAGAGCACCGATCTTGGTATTCTTAAATATCAAAATTTTCTCTATGGAGGAATCAGTCAAATACAGCTTCAAAAATTAAGAAATGTTGATTCAACACATCCTTATTATATTCACCATTCTGATCCGCCAGGATATTCACTTGTTCTAATCAAATTAAATGGAACAAATTATCAATCCTGGAGTAAATCAGTTATGCATGCTCTCATTGCCAAAAAGAAAATTGGTTTCATTGATGACACAATTGAAGAACCGTCTCAAGATGCAAATTCAATCGAATTTGAACTATGGAATCAGTGCAACAGTATGATAATATTTTGGTTAATTCATTTAGTTGAAGCAGATATCGCTGAGGGTATTATTTACGCTAAGATAGCTCATCAAGTGTGGGTTGATCTTCACGATCAATTTTCACAAAAGAATGGTCCAACAATTTTTCATATACAAAGGTCTATAGGAATGATGTCACAGGGAACCATGGCACTGTCAATATATTTCACCAAGCTCAAAGCACTCTGGGATGAATTAGAAGCATACCGCACACCATTTACCTGTAATCAACGTCAAATACATATTGATCAACGCGAAGAAGACAAGTTGATGCAACTACTTATGGGACTCAATGAATCTTATAAAACGGTGAGATCTAACATATTGATGATGACTTCATTACCTAATGTAAGACAAGCCTATTCATTACTTGTACAAGAAGAGATGCAGCGTCAGGTTACTTCTGAACCTACTGAGAATTTCTCGATTGCATCAGTAGTGTAGAAGAAAACAACATATCTGAAACTCGCGAAGGATAAATAATGTGAACACTGCAATAAAAGTGGTCATACAATTGATGAGTGTCGATTCCTTAAGTTTCACTGTAAATTTTGTGACAGAAGGGGACATACAGAATATCAATGTCAACAGAAAAATAATTCTAGAAGGGCAGTACAATTCAATCAACGCAACAATCGAGGATATCGATCATCTGCAAATATGGTTAATGTTTCTCAGTTGAATATAGAAGAACAGTCAACTAATTCCATCCCAAATTTTTCTTCTGGGCAATTACAACAGATTGTACAAGTCTTATCTGCACTCAATCATCGTCCTTTTGGTAATTATGATAATAACATCAATGTTGCAGGTTTGTTTTCAGTATCTGCATTATCTATTAACTCTACGAGTTCTAATCCATGGATTCTCGATAGTGAAGCTACAGATCATATAGTACCCAAAGCTTCTGTTATGACTGAACCAAAGGCTACCACCATATCTACTATAAACTTGCCTAATGGAGGGACAACACATGTGTCACATACCGGCAATGTTTCTTTTAATTCTGATCTTAAATTAAACAAGGTTTTATGTGTCCCTTCATTCAACTTAAACCTAATGTCCATCAGCAAACTTACCAATGACTTGAAATGTTATGTGACCTTTTATCCTGATTCTTGTGTTATGCAGGACTTGGCTACGGGGAAGATGATTGGCTCGGGTAAACAATTCGAAGGTCTCTATCATATTTCTTCATCTCCAATCAAGTCTTCAGCAAATCAAGTATCTTAGTCATCTGATTTGTGGCATTTACGCCTAGGTCATCCTTCTCCTTCTCGTTTTAAATTTCTAGTTGATCAATTGCATCTTAATAATGCTACTTTTTCTCATAATTGTAGTATTTGCCCATTAGCAAAACAAACTAGGTTGTCTTTCCCAAAAAGTTCAAGAACAACTCATTCTGCCTTTGATCTGTTACATTGTGATGTTTGGGGACCACATAAAATTCCAACCCATTCTTTGCGTTTTTTTCTCACTGTTGTTGATGATTTTACCCGATGTACTTGGGTTTTTCTTATGCAACACAAATCAGAAGTACACCATTTGTTAGTAAACTTTGTTAAATTCGTTCGAACTCAATTTCATACTACTATCAAGGTAGTTAGATCAGACAATGGGACTGAGTTCCTATCTTTGCAACCATTTTTTACTTCTTGTGGCATTGAATTTCAGCGCACTTGTATCTATACTCCACAACAAAATGGAGTCGTAGAACGTAAGCATCGTCATATCCTAAATGTAGCTAGGTCTCTTCTTTTTCAGTCATAGGTTCCACTTAATTTTTGGGGAGAATGCATTTTAACGACTGTTTATATTATAAATAGAACACCATCACCATTGTTATCTAACAAGACACCCTTTGAAGCACTCTACAAACAGCCACCTACATTTGACCATCTTAAAGTTTTTGGTTGTAAATGTCATGCAACTGTAGTACATCCTAAGCAAAAATTTGAACCTCGGGCAATTCCTTGTGTTTTCATAGGATATCCTTGTAGTCACAAAGGTTACAAGTTGTATGGCATGCAATCAAAATTTTTTTTATTAGTCGTGATGTTAAATTTTGTGAAGATGATTTTTCTTTTTCATCAGCTTCACAAACTTTGACATTAGCTCCTTCAACTCCCATTTTACCATTTCATGATCCACCCTACTCAAACATCCATTCTGATCCTTCGTCGTCTCCTCCACCTCCTATTCCTTCTCCAAATTCATCAGCTCCAGTTTCACCAGATTCATCCACTAAATCTGATCTTATCCCACTTGATACATCAGTTCCACTCCGACGTTCTACTCGTACCAAACAACCTCCAGCTTATTATAATGATTACGAGATGTCTTCGGGAGCCAATCATTTAACCTCTAGCTCAAGTCCCAACACTGGCACCAGGTATCCCCTTCATCATTACCTTTCATTCTCTCATTTTTCTCCTACTCAACGTGCCTTTCTAGCTCTTATTACAGCCCAGACAAAACCTAAAACCTATGATGAGGCAGTTGGCAATCCATTATGGCAGCAGGCTATGAATGATGAAATTGTAGCTTTGGAACGTAATCATACTTGGTCTCTCGTTCCTCTACCACCTGGCCATAAACCTATTGGCTGTCGTTGGGTGTACAAGATTAAATACAACTCTGATGGTTCTGTTGAACGTTATAAAACTCGACTGGTAGCAAAGGGATACACTCAGGTTGAAGGTGTTGATTACAAAGAGACATTTTCTCCTACAACGAAACTTACTACACTTCATTGCTTACTCACTATTGCCGTTGCTCGAAAATGGTTCACTCATCAGTTAGATGTTCAAAATGCCTTTCTCCATGGTAATCTAGACGAGAAAGTCTATATGTCTTTACCACCAGGTATTCGTCAATAGGGGGAGAATACAGTATGTTGGCTCCATAAATCTCTTTATGGTTTAAAACAAGCTTCTCGCAATTGGTTATCTATATTCTCTACCACTATACAAAATGCAGGCTACACTCAGTCCAAAGCAGATTACTCTTTATTTACTAAGAGTAAAGGTACTTCTTTCACTACAGCTCTTATCTATGTTGATGATATTCTGTTGACAGGCAATGATCTCAAAGAAATTCAACATCTCAAGACTAGTTTACTCGAAAAATTTCTTATCAAAGATTTAGGGAATTTGAAATATTTCCTAGGTATTGAATTTTCTAGGTCTAGAAAATGAATCTTTATGTCTCAAAGGATGTATGCTCTAGACATTCTTCAAGACACAGGTCTTATAGGAGCACGTCCAGAAAAATTTCCTATGGAGCAAAATCTGAAACTTTCTTCAAAAAAAGGAGAAATGTTGAATGATCCAAGTTAATACAGATGGTTGGTTGGCAGATTAATATATTTAACTGTTCTAGGCCTAACATAGTGTATTCAGTTCGTATGCTTAGTCAATTTATGCATGAACCAAGAAAACCACATTGGGAGGCAGCTCTTCATACATCAAAGGTACTCCTGGTCAAGGACTTCTACTACCATCTGAAAATAACTTGTGATTACAAGCATATTGCGATTCAGACTGGGTGGTTGTCGAACTTCCAGACGGTCTATTTCTGGGTTCTGCATTTTCCTTGGAAATTCAATTATTTCTTGGAAGTCAAACAAACAAACCAATGTGTCCAGATCATCAGCAGAAGTCGAGTATCGAGCTATGACAAATACTTGTTTAGAGTTAACTTGGTTAAGATACATTCTCCAAGACTTGAAAGTTTCACTGTCAGAACCAGCATTATTGTACTGTGATAATCAAGCAGCATTACACATAGCAGCCAATCCAGTTTTTCACGAACGTACGAAACACATTGAAATAGATTGTCATATAGTTCGAGAAAAATTACAAGCTGGAATCATCAAACCGTGTTATGTTTCGACTAAAATGCAATTGGCAAATATTTTCACTAAACCTTTGGGAAGATATCAATTTTATTTTTTGAAACACAAGTTGGGTGTGATTGACATACACACTCCAACTTGAGGGGGAGTATTGAGATATAATATCTAGAGTATATATTATTTATAGAATATATCTTAGATATTATATCATAATATTTTTTATTTATGATTTGATTTACAGTATATTTTATTTTATTCTCAGTATTTAATTATTTTATATTTTCCTCGTTTGTACTTTTTGTATGTTATCTAAAGGATATCAATATCAATAATAACAAACACCTTCCCAGTTCTATTTTCTATCTCATTCTTAACATAAAAATTATATCCTTTAGATTTAAAATCTAAGGTTTAATGAACCTAACTAAATTGAGGGTTGAAGGTTAATTTTTTTCCTTTTAATTATGTAATTATTTATTACTTCTTAATTTAATTCTAATTTATAGGCATATATCTATACAAAAATTTCACAAATCAGATGGTTGTGAAATGAGGTTCTAGTTTCTCCAAAAATATTGCATGATTTTATAATTTTTTTTTTCTCATAATTTTAATATTTGCACCTTAAATCAGGAAGGTTTTAAGATTAAGCAACTGAAAAAGAATGTGCACTTATGATTAAACGTGCTTTATTTGAAGCAATTTTATATTGTGACCTCTTAAGAATTTTCTTAGGATGCATGTGAGTGAGGATAAAACATGTTGGAAAGACTCGTGTTAGATTTGTGTGGATAGTCTTCACTCTTAAGAAGCGAGAAATAAGTAACATGACCAAGTCGTAGAGGATGTAGGAAAATGTCAAACTCATCAAATCTCAAACCGAATCCTTATCTACATGAATAAAAGTAGGTAATGTAACCATGTCGCACGAGATGCAGAAGAATGCTGGGGTTATCATGCGTCATATTAATTCCCATCTTATAATTAAGATGATAACTCACTTTTAAAAAAAAAAGAAAACCCTACCGGATGGGCATGGTATCAAAAAAGTTAAAGAAAATACAAGAGGAAGCAATTAAGAGTACTCACTCCTCCTTCAAGAGTACGTCCAATGGTGGCCTCAAATTAGGCTCAATTGATTCATGATCTATGGAAGAAAGTTCTGGTAGGGTCATTTTGTCCAACTTTTTCTAAGATTTATTCCCACAAGTAGCATGAATTGGACTCGTTTTTGTTGGCCTATTTTCAAAATTAGAATTGGTTTAGCATCTTTATCAATAACCACAAAAAGGCCAACATTCAAGGGGCTCTCCAAAAGTCCTAAACCATATTGTGAATATCCTTTGCCTTTTCTTTTCCCCTTTTTAACTTAGATTTCCAAGTGTGATGAAATTAAAATGTTCCTTTTCTTCTTTTAAACAAGTTTAGATTGTTTTCATTTTTGCCATATTGAAATATTCCCATTAAAGGAAAGAAAAGCAACTTTTTTCTTCTTCTTTTAAATAATTTTGATGATTTGAATGATACCCATTCCTAGTTGTGATATTAACACCTCAATTATTGCCCACCACCATTTCTTTTACCAATTTCGACACTTTCCAAATATTCATGCATTTCGATCTCTTGTATATTTAACTATATATTTTCATATATATCAAAACTTATTTGTTTTTTTCTTATATTTTCATATACCTATAATTAAGGTATCAACCCTTTATTTCCTTTAATATTAAATGTATTAACTATAATAAAATAACACATGCATTTTTTTTAGATGAAATTGTCCTTTATGATTTCTATGAGATAGTAGGAGAGGCACGATTCAATCTGTTACGATTTTAGGTGAAATAAATAACAAAATAAAATTGTAGGTTTTAAATTTCGTTGGATCCAAGAAACTGATGGTTTTGTTCAGTTTGTTTTGTTTATAACAAAAGTTTAAGAGTGCAAATGAAAGAGTAGGAATGAATTAAAGGTTGGTGGCGTGAGCTAATAGTTGATGGAGGAAAAAGTATAAAAAATTGTAAAAATAAGAAGAGACAATATTTGTGCTTAAAAGGAGTGTACAACTTAATTAAAATCCTTCCATCAATCTGACTTCCGCTCACTTTAATTGTGTATGTTTAACGAAAAAAAATATGAATGGGAGTGATTGTGGCTATGGCTATGGCGGGATGGACCAACATGGTTGTTGTTGCCCAAGTAGACGACTTAGAATGTGGCGGCAGGATAATTATTGTATGACATTTGTTCTAATCTAATGAACAAGTAAGCGATACAAAAGTCAGACTTTGCAGAAAACCTTAATGTATGATCGAGCCTCAGTCATGTTTCAAAGAAATATTTAAGAAAACAATTTGAAACAAATCAATGTTATAACCTAAAGGCGAATAAACAACAACGACGACTTTGAGAGCATATAACCCGAGTATGAAGAGTTAACAACTAGTCACATCCCTATATAGTATATTTTGGGGCATTTTAACACGGACGGTTGTAGACATGACTTTGGTTACCGATCATACATCTCTGTATTGACACAAAAAGAAATAGTAAAGGTCTATATAACATGAAAGTAGGCAAAACAGTTTGGAACGGGTATGGGGTCATGAACAACACGTTGTAGACAAGCATGATTGGGACATGCGGCCACAGGCAACACGCCTTTGATAAGCATGACCGTGACATCCCAACCCAATTGGTTGACGTCTCTGTCAACTAACTCTTCACGAACTCAGCAATGTAGGGCAATGCTAACTTCAAGTCTCTCAACACGCTTCAAGTTGATCTCAGCATTGAGGAGAGACTCTTCCAATATGCAACGAACTATTGAAAACCACTTCTCGATTCGTTGGCTCTTCGCATCTTCTCTATTACAGCCTCTCCTACTTTCTTCGCTTGGAAATTCTTCTTCTTTGCATGAGGTTGTACCAACTCCTTGTTTTGTGTCTTCTTTGACGGGATAGTAATGTTTCAAGTTACTGACGTGGACAATAGGGCTAGTCCGCATCCATGGGAGAAATTGAATCATATTTGATGTCTTCCCGACTTTGTGGATAACTTCGACTAGTCCATAGTATTTTTTTACATCAGTCCCTTATTCTTGTTGCTATGAAATTAGAGTTTATCTAACCTCAACTTAATTAGAACTCTCTCTCCATCTTGAACTTGTCGTGGCTGATGCTTTCGATCGACCGTTTTCTTCATCAATCTGGATGATATTTCTATATGAACATAGTTGCTTCAGAGGTTCGTCTTTGTCTCCCTCCTTCAGCAAAGTTGTTGGCTTGGTGTCTCTCCCCAACATTTGGGTGATCACTGACAAGAGTCTTTGTGGGTCTAATGAACCCGACTATCAACAAGTCATTCTGTTGTTTGTAGAATTCAACTAGCATAGGTTGAGCCATATGACACACATCTATGGCATACGATCTCGCCCTGACATAACATCAATCTAGTGATTTATCTAACTTTTTGGTCTTGTGTCATTGTGTTCCTGTAGTGGCAACGATGTTTTTGTTGGAGTGAGTTGACCTGAGCTCCCCTCTTCAATCATGGCAATGGTAACGAGCGTGGGTTCGATAAGATCTCTTCTTAACTATAGTGCCAACATCATTTTCACCCCTTTGGTTGATGGGGGATAGTCTGGATGATTGTTGGGTTGGATCCCATTACTACTAAAAATTTCGCTAAGGGCATGGGAATGATTTTGTGTCAAGTAGAAAATTCATCCTTAACACGATGTCAATGTCAAAGTCGTTCATCTTGACAATCACAAAATTGGTTTGTCTCATCGAAGTCCATTTCTTTATCGGAGTGCTTTTTACAACACTTGGGACAGGTAGGGTTGCTGATTTGAAAAATTTATCTGTCTTGTCTCTCGATGCCATAGGATGTTCAAGCATTTTGCTTCGGTCTCTGTTATGAAATTGTAGGTGGCTCCAGAGTCGATAATAGTGTTCTTGACCGCTCTGTGGTTCACTCATATCTCAACATACATAAGACCATATTCCACTGGATGTTCAATCTCACTCACTCTCTTTTGAAAAGGAAATAAATACTTTAGAGCCCTCATGCGAGGTATTTCCACGTTTTCGACTTGTCGTGTTTCAACTTCCGCTGTATCGTACTAAACTTGTAATGACCCTAAATTTTACCTATTTAATCTAAGGTCATTACTATACCTTGAAATGTGAAATATACATTAAATGAGTCGTGTTCATAAATGGACTTATACTTGCCTTTTATTACCTCATGAAAGAGAAAATGATTACAAGGGAAAGAAAGAAAAAAAAACATTATTGAAATAAAGGAAAATGAACAAAACCGAAATGAATGTCTTATACTACCCTATGGTTTATTATGCAAATACAATTCAACCTATATTAACCTATACTAATGTTGCAAACCGAATTCAACCTAGACTATGAAATGAAAAAAAAAAAAAAAAACTACCCTATGCATGTGCCACGGTCCCGGGGTGTACGATGCTGCCATCGTTATCACATGGGTGCCTTGCCCTTATCTGTAAATGTAAAGTAGCACGGAGTATTTCTAGAATAATCAATAAGTAACCCCCTATTGGGGTTATGCAACAATCACATGCAATGAAATGATGGGACCTATCTTTCATTTCGTTTCGTTTCGTTTCCCTACGGTGGTGTCCTAACGGGTAAACTTTGGACGTGTAGCCATACGTGCGAGTATGAGCTCACCATTTAGTTTGCACACCACTGGGCCACTTTTCTTATCCAGTGGGCATGCTCTGGGAGCCCCTTATATCGGAACTGGTTGGAACTAATAACCGTCACGGCAGCGCTATGCAAAGCATTACGATCGTTGTCCTGCCATTGGATGTACGCATCTGTACCCTCGTGATGGGATAGGGGTATCCCCCCAGATGCATGAACACACAATATGCATGAGGTCCCCGCTAGTCATACATTTATCATTAATGAACATAACCCCTGTCACGTTTCATGCTTACTTGTCATTCTCATTTTCATTTCTTTACGTATCATGCATATTCCTAACGGGGTTATGTTTCCATGCAGTTTACTGTATTCCATGTCATAATTCATGCTATTTACATTCAGATATTTCATATAATCATACCATAATCATTCAAGAACAACATATCGTCACATGCATTACATATCACATCAAACTAAGCAGCATACATAGCATACATTCTCGTTCATATGATTACGTACTTAAGCACAACAAACTAGCATACAATTTAATGACATGTGCGAATCCACAGGCATGTGCCAACAAACTGCAATTAACACGTAACCTATGACAATAATAATAATAAATAAAAATAATTATAAAAAAATAGTTAAATAACAATAATAATAATAAATAAATAAAATAAACAAAAAAACAACATTTTCTCTTCTCTCCACTAACCTCCCATCCCTCCCCACAATTATCTCTCCTCAACCCATCCTTACGTAAATGGCCAGAAAAACAACGATGGTCGGATTTGAGAAGAAGTAAAATGGTTTTCAACATAAGAAGATTGCAGATTTAGAGATTTTGGTTAGTTGTTATAGTAAAATCCAATCTCAGATTTTGTTTTCCTTTATAGTTATGGTTATAAGAAATTAATTTAAGATCAAATCTCCTTTCATATTTTACCAGGCCCTGTAATAATCTGATCTCATATCCAATTGATTAGATTTTTGTTAGCATTTTAAAGTATACTAAATAAGGTAAATTTAATAAAATTTTAGTTGGCAATCTATAAACTCGAAGATGCATAGACAATTAATCGACTTAAAATTGGCCAGTAATATCTGTTTACACAATTAAAAATCTATGCACAGAATGAAAATAATGAGAGGGAGGAGGATTGAGGAAAGATTTGTTAAACAAAATTTAACAATAAAAAAAGGAAATATCAGAGGGTAATGAAATCAGTTGAATTTTGTCTAACACGAAATATCAGAATTTTATGATGCACAATGTAAATGAGAGAAATAATTGTGTAGAGTTCAAACTTGAAACTAATTTCATGGGCTCATATAGGTTGACTCGATTTCAAAGGACAGAATCGAACTTTGATTAAAGATATATTCGTGACAACGACTTAAGCTAGCCAGGTAAGTGACCTTACTATCGGCATGGTTATATTTGTTGTTAACACGTGCCCCGTGATTCTGCACGTGTCATATATATTGATATGTGTGAATTATCTGTGGATCGATATGCTTCTTATTTGTTATGTATATGATATAATATGTGAATTGTTTGATAATAATTATGGTACGAGATATGTTTGAGATAGGATACGAGAAGGATGCACAAAACGAAATGTAACGATAGGAATAAAATACGTTCATGAAACGTTATGGTTAGGTTACATACCGGAGTGATGGATAAGAGAGATTGATGGAAGAATACGGTTAGGTTACGGGTAGAAAGGGATAGGTTTGTGATAGATTGATAGAACGATAGCATTAGGATACGTTCTTGTGATGATATGACTAAGGTATGTTCACGTAATGATATGTCTGTGATAGGTATAAGAACGTTAAGACTATGATAAGTTAGAGAACGATATGACTACGAAGTGTTTATGTTATGACTTGTTTATGATATGATACATTATGATGCAATATGTCATGGTATGATGTGTATATGATGAAATTTTATGTTAAAAGCATAGAATGTTATGTTAGCTCTCTTAAATTGTGTGTATACAGCATAATGTGAATGACATGAAATCACGATAAATGACATGAAATATAATCTCATTAGAATTATGTATGATTTGAGAACTGAAGAATGAGAACGATATGATATGAATGATGAATGATATCTGAAATGATATGAAAAATGATATGATATGTACATAATGCTAGCGGGTTGTATTAAATGATAATGAAAATGGAAAAATTTTGGGACCTCATGCATTGGGGGATACCCCTATTCCATCACGAGGGTACGGACGCATACATCCAATGGTAAGATTGAAACCTAGCACAAAGACGTACACTAAACATAATGTCAGGTCTACTAGCAGTAAAGTAAAGATTCAATCATACCTCAATAAGATTTTATATCTACACATTTATCTTTTTCATCCTTGTCAAGCTTTGTAAATGTGCTCATTGGAGTTTTTGCAATCTTATCTTCATTGAACTTGAATCTTCTGAGTAAATCCTTGGTGTATTTCTCCTAATTTACGAAGATACCATATTTCAATTGTTTGATTTGAAGTCCAAGAAAAAAATGAGCTCCCCCATCATACTAATCTCTAACTCATTCTACAGACATTTCGAAAATTCTTCATAAAGAAGGATAGATAGAATCAAATACAATATCATCTACATATATTTGAACTAATAGCATATCTTTTTCTTTAATTTTAATAAAGAGAGTAGTGTCGAGCTTATCCATTTTGAAATCATTCTCAATAAGAAAATTACTAAGTTTATTGTATCAGGCTCTCGGAGCTTGTTTTAAACCATAAAGAACCTCTTTCAACTTATAGACATGAGGTGGAAAATCAAAATTTTCAAATTTGGGAGGTTGTTTTACATAAACTTCCTCCATAATATAACCATTGAAGAATGCACTTCTCACATCCATTTGATACAATATAAATTTTTTTATAAGAATTGCAATTAACATTCTAATAGCTTATAATCTAGCAACGGGTGCAAAAGTCTATACCTTCCTCCTCACAATAACCTTGAGCTACAAGTCTAGCTTTATTTCTAATGATATTCCTATTTCCATCGATTTTATTTAAAACCCATTTTGTTACTCTAATGGAAATATGAAATGGCCTACGGACTAATTCTCAAACTTTGTTCCTTCCATTCATTTAGTTTTTCT